ATAATCAATACACATTCTCATAGTGCCATCCTTCTTTTTCACAAACAAAACAGGTGCTCCCCATGGGGACACACTAGGACGGATGAACCCCTTATCCAGGAGTATGTAGTACACACTGGAATGAAGTGAGCAGACTTGGTCAACCGATCCACAACCACCCATATCGAATCAAACTTCCTCGCTGTCCGAGGCAAGCCAGTCACAAAGTCCATAGTGATCCTCTCCCACTTCCACTCAGGAATAGTCATCTGCTGTAATAAGCCACCAGGTCTCTGGTGCTCGGACTTCACCTGCTGACAGTTAAGACACTTAGCCACATAATCCACAATATCTTTCTTCATTCTTCTCCACCAATACAGCTGCCTCAAATCCTGATACATCTTCGCGACACCCGGATGAATGGAGTATCGCGAACTGTGAGCCTCTGCCAATATNTGATACATCTTCGCGACACCCGGACTTCACCTGCTGCCTCATATTTAACCTCCATGTTTCTGTCTGACTAATGGTTTATTTATACCATCATATACAAATATATGTTATATTTTTTATATATGTACCACATTTACAATATTATTATGTGATACCAAATGGTGATTGTTTAGTGTCTGCTTACGTCTTTTTATTTATTTCCATTTTTTAAATTTTTTTTAATTTTGATGGTTTTTTTTATTACATTTATTTTTTCTGCTACAATACCAGGAGATGCATTTGGAAAAGAAAAGAAAAATCTCCCGTTAGCAGACATAACAAACCGTCAACATTTTCAACAATTACATTTTCAGTCTTTAGAGAGTTCTACACATGCTTCATCATCTCAATGTCAGACAGAATATCCAAATTTTCCTACACAGCAAAATTTGGATTTTAATTTGTCAACATCAAATGTGCAGAGAAATTTTCTTCTACCTGATTTAAATGAAATACCCCTACTGCCAGGTTTTTATTAAAAATTATATTTTTAATATACTTTGAATTGTTTATTTATAGTAACGAAATTTTTGTATGATTTATTTTTAGAAGTTGATGATATCAATATTGATGGCGATGTACCAGGTATGTATGTCAAAAATAAATTTATTTGTTATTAAATTACACATGTAGACTTATTTAATATTAATAATTAAATTAATTGTATTGTCATTAATTATTAAACGTAAAAAAAAGTTCAAACTATTCCAGAAATTTATGATGCAACAGAAGATCAAGAAGACTATGAAGGTATGTCTATCTTAACTTACACAATAAGTTATTCATATCCCTATCTTCAATTGTTATACCTAATATCATATGCGTTTAATAATATTTAGATCCTGATGTTGGAAATGCAATTATTGACAATGAAGGTATGCATATTTTATTAAAAATATGTATATACAATATGTATGCGTATGTAGCGTTTACGTTAATGTTAAATTTACTTTTTTTTTATAGAGTATTGGGATATAGGAGATCCTACATATGAATGTGAACATTGTGGTGCTTATTTTTGGTACGATGAAAGAATCAGGAAGAAAATCAAAGGAAAAAGACCAAAGTTCTCTTTGTGTTGTAATCATGGAAAGATACTTTTTCCAAAACCAAAAGAACCTCCCACAATTCTAAAACAATTATTATTCGGATCAGGTAACCACAAAATCTACTTTACTATACTTCAATATTATATTAAAATTAACAAAAAATTTACTTCACCAACAAATGATATTACCTAGGTCCAAAGAGTAAGCATTTCAGAGATAATATTAGAAGTTATAACTCGATGTTTTCATTTACATCGATGGGAGGAAAAGTTGATGCTTCTGTCAACCAAACAAAGGGGCCACGAACATTCAAATTATCTGGACAAAACTATCATCAAATTGGTAGTTTGTTGCCTCCTGAAGGATCCACTCCCAAGTTTGCCCAATTATATATATACGACACAGAAAATGAAGTTCAGAATAGACTTCATGCATTGGGGTTAGTATTTAATTATGCTAAATTGATTTATGCATGAATAATATAACAAATACATAATTTATAACAATTTAATAAAATCATATGTTTATGCAGTCGTGGTGATAGAATAAACGAACTTCATGCTGAAATTGTTCAAGATCTTAAACAAATGCTTGATGACCATAATGTTTTGACAAAATCATTTAGAATGGTCAGAGACAAATTTCATGAACATAGTCAATCCAATGTTAGACTCAGATTGATCGGAAAAAGGAACTATGATGGAAGAAGATACAACTTACCTACTGTTTCAGAGGTTGCTGCATTGGTAGTAGGAGATTTTGATGTATCTAGATGTGACCGAGACATCATCGTTGAAACACAATCTGGACATTTACAAAGGATAAATGGGTTGAATGCTGCCTATTTAGTCCTACAGTATCCTTTGTTATTTCCATTTGGTGAAGATGGTTATAGGGAAGACATTCCTTTAAATGGAAATGATGAATCAAGTGGAGGAAGGAATTTTGTTAGCATTCGTGAATATTTAGCATACAAAATACAAGAAAGAAATGGTGAATTACCAACAATTCTTAACTCTAGACGATTATTTCAACAATTCTTAGTCGATGGTTTTACAATGGTTGAATCTTCAAGGTTGAAATTTTTTAGAACCCATCAAAAACAATTACGAGCCCATATGTATAAAGGATTAGAAGAAGCAGTTTTACAAGGGGAGATAAATCCTTCTTCTCAAGGTAAAAGGATAATTCTTTCGTCCAGCTTCACAGGGGGTGCAAGATACATGATTCAAAATTATCAAGATGCTATGGCAATATGCAAGTGGGCTGGATATCCAAATCTATTCATAACATTTACTTGCAACCCAACATGGCCAGAAATAAGCAGATTTGTAAATAGCAGGGGGTTGCAACCAGAAGATCGGCCAGACATTTTAGCTAGGGTTTTTTAAATCAAGTTGGATCATTTAATAAAGGATTTGAAAGAAAAATAAATTTTTGGATCAGTTAAATCAGGTATATATTTAAAATTTTTAAATAACTATTACAATGTTTTAAATTTAATTTAATAACACATTTTATCATACAAATAAAATAAAACAAATCATCTAAATTGCAAACTTTTTATTTTTTGCAGTGATATATACTGTAGAATTCCAAAAGCGTGGATTGCCTCATGCACACATACTGCTCTTTCTTCATAATAAATATCCAAATGTTGGAGATATAGATCAAATAATTTCAGCTGAAATACCTGATAAATCGGTTGATCCGCATTATTATATGGCCGTGAAGAATTTCATGATGCATGGCCCGTGTGGTTCTGCTAAAAAATCATCTCCTTGCATGCGTAATGGTAGATGTACAAAACACTTCCCAAAGAAGTTTGTACAAAATACCACAATTGATGAAGATGGATATCTTGTATATCAAAGAAAGGATGATAACAGAACTATTACAAAAGAAGGAATTGAATTGGATAACAGGTATGTGGTGCCACACAATAGATATTTATTGTTGAAGTATGGGGCACATATAAATGTTGAATGGTGCAATCAATCTCGGTCAATCAAGTACTTATTTAAGTACGTTAATAAGGGAAATGATCGTGTGACAGCAGCTTTTTCTCAAAGTGTGCATGAGGAAGACTCACAAGCTATTGATGAAATTAAAATGTATTATGATTGTCGGTACATATCACCGTGTGAAGCTGCATGGAGAATTTTTAAATTTCCTATTCAGCATAGAGAACCTTCGGTAGAGAGACTTTCCTTTCATCTACCAAATGAACAAACAGTTATTTTCTCTGATGATGATCCAATTGATGAAGTTACCAATAGACCAAGTGTAAAGGAGTCAAAGTTTTTAAGCTGGTTTGAGGCAAATAATACTTATGATGAAGCAAGAGAATTAACTTATGCAGAATTTCCTCTTAAGTTTGTGTGGAATGTAAAACTCAAAAAGTGGGAAAAACGAAGAAATTCTGCATTTTCAATTGGGAGAATATTATTTGTACCCCCTGGAAGTGGAGAGCAATATTACCTTAGAATGTTGTTGAATGTCATAAAGGGACCTAAGAGTTATGCTGATTTACGAAAAATCAATAATCAACAGCATTTAACTTTTAGAGATGCATGTTATGCACTTGGTTTATTAGATGATGATAAAGAGTATATAGATGCGATAAAGTGTCACGACCCCAAATCCCGGTCGTGATGGCGCCCTGCCGCAAGGCTGGGCAAGCCCGACCATTCCAATCCAAACACCGGCATATTAGCCCAGAATACGACAAACCAGTAACTGAAACAATAATTGCCAAAAATAGAGCCAGCTGAAAACAAGTGCTCAGAATATAAACCACAAATCCCTAGAACCAAGGGAGTCACAAGCATAGAGCCTCTATATGATCCGAATACAGTGATAAAAGAGTAGATACAATGTCTATTACAGAAAAGACATGAACTAAGATAGAGTAGAGAAACTGGGTTCTACGGGAGACAGCAGCTACCTCAGCACTCGGGAAATCAGCTGCGGAAAGATCAACTCCGATGCGGCTGGAGCTCAGCGGTACCTGAATCTGCACACAAGGTGCAGGGAGTAGGGGGTGAGTCTACCAACTCAGTAAGTAATGCAAGTATGTAAAAGTCCGAAAGCAGGAAAACCAAATAATGCACCTAGCAAGGCTAAATATCCACATTCCTGCTCCTTTCCAATATCAACAACTCAACCATGCAATGCAACAAGTAGTAAATGATGCAAATGATGCAATGCAATGCGATGCATGCCTGCTGCGGCGCGCAGCCCGAGCCATCCATATGGGTACCCGCGCTCACTGTGTGGGTTCAGACTCCGGAGGGGCTCCTACAGCCCAAGCGCAATAATAGACAGTGCCAATAGTTACCACTGTTTCATAAGAATCCACAGTGCCAATAGTTACCACCGCTTCCATCACAATCCACGGTGTCAATAGTTACCACCGCTTCCATGAATGATGCACAGTCTAGAAATACAGTAAAACCAGTACTCGTCAGCCCAAAATATCATAACAGGTGTTTAAATGATCAAAACAGTTCACTGAGGCTGAGTTTATAAAAATAGAATGTTTCAAAAACCTTTGGACTGTGTTCAGATAAATGCATGTCATGAATATGCAACAAATATGTCCCTGAAGGAATCTATAAGTCGGCACAAGGCCCCAATCATGGCATTAAGCCCAAACCAATCCTTAAAGGATTATTCCAGACGGCACATGGCCCTAATCATGGCATTAAGCCCATATACGTATCATCAGTGTAATAAGCATGACGGATGCTATTATAATATAACATAGTTTATCTCTCGGACTGAGCCGAGTCACCATTTTCATCTCACACGACCCC